GTGGCGGCTTCTCCAACCTCCAGGTCCGCTATGGCGGACTTCTTCTTCAGGCGGCCACCCCAGCTATGGCGCATCAGGCCCTGCACACAACGGCGCGCATGGAATAGCGGGTACCTGCTCCGATACCAATGCAATCAGACTCGCTTTCAGTCACACTTTTCATGCACGTAAACAGTAGCGCAGCAAACTGGCGACATGTGCCCACTCCAAACTTAGAGATATGGCAATCAGATACGAGTTCACTTTCAACTGGCTATGGCGACTCAGCGCCCAAACAACTCACTGTTCACATACACCGGATCATGCTGGATATCCCACACGCGACTCCATGAGCTCACACACACACACACACACACTCGCTACACACTAACTCTAGCTATGGCGGCTATGGCCGCAACTACCCTATCGCTATGCTACGCTCCTTCTCTCTCGCCCACTTCAGCTCCGGGCTCATTGCAGACCTCCTTGCACAAGTCGTTGTGGCAGCGCTTCCGCATGGCTCACGCAGGAATGAATGAATGGCTGGGCGCTGCCTCTTGATTTATACTTCTGAAACTCGTTGGTCTGCCCTTTGCCATCGGCCCATGGTGCTCACAATCCGTGGTGGTACTTGCTGGACTGGACTGGGACTGACTGGACCTTACCGCTGACTGAATGGGGACTCACTGCTAACCTACCGAGGTCATATTGCAATTGCGCTGCAGTTAGTCCACCACTTGGCTCACCACTTGCCCACTTGCCCACTTGCTGACCTTCTAGAAGGGCTACAGCTAAGACTGCTGGAACTCGCTAAGACTTCTATTCTATAGGTCTACAGATCGAACCCCTGCTACCTACGGACCTATGACAACCTACCAACTGTTTACGAATACACAGGTCACAGGTTCGACTCTCGGGGTCTACACAGGTACTGTACACAGGTAGGGCAAGGTCTAGGGATCGAGCCCTGGGATCTGCATCTACTACTGCAAAGAGGTGAAAACCGTTTCATATGTGTCACCGGTACTTATACCGGCTCCCCGTACAATACGGGGACCAGTCTCGTACCAGTTTTCTATTGTACTCGTACTCAGTGTGACTTGCTTCGACTTTGCGACTTTGCCACTTCGTGTTTGCGTCCGTCGAGTCCTATCGAGTAGTTGAGTGAGTTTGTGTGTGTGCTCTCACTCTCTCCCTCTCTCTCCCAGCCTCGTTGCCTCAGCCTCGTCACACTGGTATCGGAGTGGTTCGAACCCGCCCCACCCACCCTGCTTCGTCGTCACCGCTTGGCCATAAGCAGCAGCATCATCGTGATCGTTGTCGTAGCACCACGTCATCGTCGTGACCGTCGACGTCATGCCACGACATCATCGTCATCGTCGCGATCGTCGTCRTCGTGCCACGACATCATCGTCACCATTGCGCTCGTCGTCGTCATGCCACGTCGCCATCGCTGTGCCCATCGTCCTCGTCATCACGCTGTGCCATCCTCGACGTCATCATCATCGTTGTCACCTCGCAGATAAGTAATCGACGACAATTTTCTTCTTATTATTTTTATTATTTTCTTTTTCTTCTTCTTATCTTCTTCTTCTTCTTAGTCGCGACTCCGATCCCGCTCCCGCGCAACCTCCCCTCCCCGACTCTCGATCTTCCCCGCCCCTCCCCCCAGCGCATTTTTCCCCCCGACACCCGACCTCCCCCCGCGCTATCTTTCGCGCGACCTAACTCCCGTC